AAGACTGCCAGAAACCAGGGAGCTCTGAGGAAAATAAACTAGAAGAAGGGAAGGCAGAGGCAGAAGCACAAACAGCCTGGTCCCGAAGCAGAGACAAAGACACATTAAATGCCATCAAAGGCTAAGGCAGTTCCAGATCCAGTCCCAGCCCCAAACCCAACCTGACAGGAGACAAAGCCAAGTCAATATCCCACCCAGGGCCATGGTGGCCTGACCCCAGGCCACCCCAGGAGCAGGGGCCAAACTAGCCTGCAGCACAGGGCCTAGTGAGCCTATGCTAGAACCTCTGGCAGATCAACACTCATGGTGTCCACACTCAAGCCAATAGCAGAAAGGCCCAGAACACAACAGTAGTCTTGCACAAGGCTGATGGACAGTAGAGTCAACAAAATATGGAGCCTGCCAGGGTCACAGCAAAGGATTGGGTTTGGAAGTGTGAATGGAGGAAAAGAGAAGTAGCTAAGGTCAAAATCTAAGTTGAATCACCAGCTTACTGAGCAATACCCAGGAATTCTGAAGAAGATGTAAGTTTAGTCTTAGCTACCACATTTAAAACAAAGTTAGGCCTGAACCACATCATACAAGATTATGTATGGGGTAAAAAAACAATCTGACCCAAGCACAAAGCCCCAATCCAGAAAATATTACTGGAGATTAGAGAAGACAAAAGAAAATTCTGAACACAATGAAGAAATACTTTGGCTTGAGAGGAGTCCAACAGGTAAACCCAGAAAAGATTAACTTCACAAAAAGCCCATAGAGAAAAGAATGTCCTGGCCACAAGGTCTACAAAAATACTTGAAAGAAATAAAACAAAACATATGAAATGTAATGTTCAAGAAAATGAGAGCTAGGGAGACAATGAGGATTAACGGTATAAAACAGAGGCTGAAAGGCCCTTACCCAAGAACTGAACTCCATAAAAATCAGATTGGACCAACTAAAAAGCAACTCTGAGCATTGAGAAATAATAAAACAAAATCAAAAGACTGAAGAAAAAGTAAGGTGTATAATATCAAAAACAACTGACCTAGAAAATGAAACAAGGAAAAAATCATCTAAGACTCATCAGACTAACTGAAAATTATGACAAAAAAAAAAAGACTGGATACCATATTTCAAGATAATATAAATGCAAACTACTCAGATCTATTACAACAAAAGGGCAAAGGTAAACTATAAAAAACATACAAGTCACCTCCTGGAATACCAAAATGAAAACTCCCTGACACATCATAGCTAACATTCAGAGCTTAAGTCAAGAAAAATAATCCAAACAGCCAAAAGATTTTAAGTACCAATGAGCCACAGTTAAGATTACAGAAGAATTATAAACTGCCACTATCGGTGTCCATGTCACTCTCTCTCACACACACACACACACACACACACACACACACACACACAGAGTAACCAAACCCTTAAGTTCTTCCTATGACAAATATAATTTGGAACTTACTTGCAAGGGCTATGAGGGTAACATGAGATATTTGTAAAGCACTCTACAACATGAAAGTGTTACATAAATGCAAGCTATTATTATTACTATTAATATATATTATAGGGTCGTAAGTAACTACATTCATTAAAAGGCTAATTTATCTTTTGATTTTCAAATCACAGGATTCAGAGTGGGAAGAGATCCTAAAGATCCTCTTGTCCAACCTGTTGATTTTGAGATGTGGAAAGTGAGGTCCAGAGGGATTAAACACTTGCCTAAAGTCACACAAGAAGCAAAGAAGAGAACTGGTATTTGATGCCAAGTGCTCTGACTACAAATCCATTGCTCACCCATTGTCCTTTTTCGTATAAATATACATGTATTTTAAAACTCTTTAACATTTAATGATGTGAAAAGAAGTACTTTGCAATGAAACATGTAAGCAAGATTAAAAAAAATATCGAAAGGTAAATAAAGTTTAAAAAGAATAAATAAGAATGGTGGGAGGGGAGAGGAAAGAAATCTCATTTACTATCACTGACTATGGTAAAAGCTCTACTAAGCAAAATGATAATGACAGAATCACAACAGAAATAAGACTCAGAGAATAAAGAAAGAATTAAGCTCTGCTGCAAGAGCTTAAAATCTCCTTGGAAATATGAAACAAACATGAATGACATTAGAACCTTACACATCATGTCCTAAATCAAAAAATATATAGCAACCATTGAATACACATGCTGATTAATCAGAAATCTAAAAAAGGTTATTTAGCAAATGTTAATTTTCCCCACTAACAGAGCAAAGATGAGCAATGGTCATCGTGACATTATTTAGTTCAATAAGCAGACTGTGACACCCATTATTTCATGTAGATGTTATAATTACTGTTGTCCCTTCCTAAGGAACTTAATTCTGAGAAGAAATATGGTATAGTGCAGGCCACATGTCTTCTAGGTCCTCAAGTTTGACCCTTTGACTGAATCCAAACTTCACAGAACAAATCCCCTTAATTTGTTCTGTAAAAGTTGGACTAACAGACACATAATACTTACTAGCTGTGTGACCCTGGGCAAGTCACTTAACCCCCATTGCCCAATCAAAAAAAAAAAAAAAAAAGTTGGACTAAGTCAAAAGGCAGTACCCAAACGCCTTGAGGCCACAGGTCCCCCACCCCTGGTATAGCAGAAAAAGTGTTGGAGTATGTTGAGATCTGGGTTCAAATCTTAATGCAGACACTTACTAGCTATGTAACCTTGGGCAAGTCATAAAAGTTCTCTAAGCCACAGTTTCTTCATCTCTCTAAAGGTTAACAGGGCTGTTGTGAGGCTCCAACAAGGGAAGTGATATATAAAAGTCAGCTGTTTATTTTTAAAATCTGAACAGAAGTTGCAAGGTGGAGTGAAAAGTGTTTGAAACATGACATTAGGAAAATCTGACCTCAGATACTTACTAGTTAAGTGACCCATGACAAGTGCCTCAGGAAAACTCCTCCCTAGGATTTATCTACGTGGCTCCCTATCTCTCTGATACCATGAGACTTCCTACAGATGACATTACAGACCTAGGTTCAATCCCAGCTGTGAGCTCAGGCAAGGAAATTAATCTCTCTGGGTCTCAATTTCTTCATCTGTAAAATGGGAAATAGGGTCTGGGGGCGGTATGGGGGTGCGTGTGTGTGTGTGTGTGTGTGTGTGTGTGTGTGTAGACTAGAGGACCTTAATAATGTCTTTCACCTAAAGCTATAAGAGCTATAAGCCTATGACCACAGTATTTCTATAATGTATTTTATCTACTGTATTAGATCTATATGTTATTTCTATATGTATAACCTATGTATTTCTATAAAGCTAATCTAATTCCCTTAAGAAATATTTGCATACTACAATGGTTGGCTATAATATAAACATTAAGGGGGGTTTTTTTAGTTGTTATGCTTTTATAATTAATTTCAAATCAAATACAGGAAATTCTATAAGATATCTGGAAAGTTTACCATGTATCTCAAAACAGCTTCAGTAGGCGTCAAGTTCAGAAAGGCCTGAGGAGGCATAAGTCTAAAGGATTAGACTACGCAGATGTTAGAAAAATGAAGAGTCATGAAGCAGGTTGGCAGCAAAGAAACATGAGAAATACTCAAAACTGCTTAAGAAAAAGAAACTAAAAATAACTGAAGACTGCTCCAGGATGTAATAAACTATCAGGAAGAGATTTTTAGCTCTCTAAAGAAAATATGAAATAATTACAAACTAAAATAGAATTTGGCCGTCTATTTAATGAATGAATTTACACACAAGCTATGAAACTAAATGCCTCACCAACACAATATCAAAAATCGTCTTCAACTTTCATATCAAAGATACTAGTTCTTACAACAAACATCTGAATGAAGAAGACAACAACCTCCTATGGTAATACTGAATTACAGGGATGCTCATGACTAAAGAAATAACAAAAATGAGATATTAAAGATGAACTGCTGAGGACTCAGTTTTCTATAAAGTGAGGTAATTGGTCTAAATTATCTGTACTGTCAACCAAGAACTTAAATATGTAAACTATACACATTTCTACAGAAATGGAAAATTAGAAAGAAACAACATAAAGAGATGCATACAATATTGGAGCAGATGAATGACAGCTGACTTTAAAAATTGTCCTTTACATTTTGCAAAGTGCTTTATATTCTTTCTCTTATTTGATCCTTCCAATAATCCTATAAAGTCAGAAAGAAAAGCAACATTATCGTAATTTTAGAGATAATAAAACTGTAGCACAGAAAGTGGCCAAAGCATATACTGCTAATAATAAGTGAGTTAATATGAATTTGCGGACCTAATTCTTGAACCCAATTCTTCTGACTCCCACTTCATTACTTTTTATTCTAGACTTCAGCTGCTCCTACAATACTCAGCATAGAGTATCTTCACTGGTTTCAGAAGACAGAATAGTAACACTGTTTCCCTCCACATCAATTGTATGAAACAAAGAAGATACTTAGATCATTATTTAGTAATCAGCTAATGCAAAAGAAACCATTTCCATACAAAATATTAAAAGGGGAAAAAGGACATTTTTAAAATGTCTTTTTTAAGACTTTTTAAAAAAGTAAACATTTATTTTGTACCTCTACGTACAAGGCACATGGCAGCTGACAACATAAGACTTCATCCACATAACTAATTTTGGTGATCACTTTTAGATTACTGCTAATAGTACTGGTATTTAATTTTGCATACATATCACTAAGAAAATTTACAGTTTTAAATAAATTAGGTATTTCAAGTAATCTAGACTTTTAGTAAAAGGCAACTTTGAAAATCTTATATATCTCAAAATATTAAATGAAAACAAGTAGTTAACATTATTATTCCCAGGGCAGAATATCAATTAAGATAATTGTGCTCTCCATATACCTTTAGTGTAGCAAGATAGCACTAAAGCTATAAGGTCATCTGTGGGGTCATTTTCTTGAGATTTCTTTTACTTCTGGAAACCCAGAAAATGATTTCATCTTTTTTTTAATGTACAAAGATACACTGAGAAACTGTATACTAACCTGGCCAAGCCCAGGCATACCTCCTCCCAATCGAAGTAGTCTGTCCATATTTCTAGAAAACAGAAACAAAGGAAAACGTTTCTAAGCACAAAAGTGTTTACTCAATTGCTATCTATATAATTCACCTTCAGTCACTCAGTATGTCAAAAATATTGGTGGTAATTACAACACAACATCAGACTTCCTGTTAATTAACACCACATATTAATTCAAGAAGCTGTCTTCTATGCTAATTAGCAGACCTTATTTTACTGCTTTGGTTTTGGGTTATCCCCAGTTTTAAAGACAAGCAATCTTAGCATAGTTTTCAAAACTTTGCAATCAGGTTAATTATATTTTCCTATTGTTATCAGATAACAGTACCTGAACAAGAGAAGTGCCTGGAATACTTACCATATATATGATTGAGTGTACGTCAATTTGTCCAGAGTGTACAAATAAAAATCCTCACTTTTAAATTAAATTTTAACATCCTCATTAGTAAGTTCTGTGCTAATTAACTTACAGCTTGTCAGTTATCATCAAAACTACATGTGAAAGACATTGTGAGCAGATTATGGATCTCTGAATTAGCATCAAAAGCTTATTTTAATGAACTCATTATACTAAAAAGAAATACTATAAAGTAAACATTATATGCATTCAGTTAATGTTCTAGAAGCTACACAGAAATTTCATTTATTTCAGATACTGGGGAGCAAATATAGGGAAATGTGCCTTCTTCATTCAGGAAATGCTAAGCAATTAAATGTTATAATTATGAGTCACTAAGTATAAATATGATTTAACTTATTAATAAAACAATTTGATTTATTTTGGTATATTTGGATAAAGCAGAGAAATAATTCCTGTGAACATGAATAGCTCAGGCAGAATAGATAGAACATCAAAGAAAAGTATGTGAATGTGTGTCTGTATTTACATGTGTATGTATATATGCGTGTGTACACACACACACACATTTATATATTTAAGTGGTCTCAATGACCACGTAACTGACACTCTCAATATTTAAAAAGAGTAGCATTTAACTCTTGCATACCTAAAACATTATGATTTTCCTAAGTAATTTTCTTTTTAAAAATGGCTACTACCTCTTGAGAATTCTTCTGTCCCTCTAAAGCCACATATTTTAGAATATGTCATTACTGTCACTGGAAACAATCTTAAGCAAAATGACTTTGTCTTTCTTAGTTGGATATTTGTCTACATTGTTTTACCAGGTGAAACTGTCAAAGACACTGAAATCCAGTAAAATGCTGCAATCATCATTACCACTAAGAAAAGTACTGTTTATAAACATACATTTTGAAACATGCTGAAAATGTAAATTACTGAATAACTTTTAAAAGTTCCCTTAACTCAGACCATAATAACTATTTAATTAAAATAAAAACTCACGATAAAGTATAACTTAATGCACAGTTTGCTTCCAAAGAGTTTGTAAAGCAAAAATACATGTACCATACAATTTCCATCTCAATCAGTAGCAAGAATAATGAACAAAAACCTTCATCAAATCTCTATGGTTTCATGAAGATTCCTATTATTACATGGACCACACTCATAAGAATATTAAAAGAATGTAAACAGTAAAAACAAGTAGATTGGTATATATTTCTCTGTTACTGAGCAGGAAAAAAATGTCCTCAGCACAGCATCAAATAAACTCAAAACAGGAATCCTTTTTCTAAACATGATCTTGAAGAAAAAAGTGTGCTAATTTAATATATACTTAATATGCTCTTTCCCATTGAATATATTTATCTTTTTGTGCTTTATAGCTTTCAATGGTTTAACATAGATTTCCAGGTACTGTGAAAATTGAGAGCAAGGTAAGAAGCAGAGGGGAAAAAAAATCTGGCCAGTGAAATTTGTGTTTTTAGTAAAATTATGTTTTTCAGTCAGTAGGCAAATATATTATATAAACTAAACTATTTTTAAAGAACTGATCTACATACAGATAAATCAAGAAATTTTTTTTCCTGAAAATGTCTTAATTTTGATGACATTAAATACAAAAAACTTTTAGTAAAATGTTGTCAGAAGCATTTTAAAAGGTACTACTTTAAAAGTTAACAGAAAACAGAAGTAATATTTTTAAATATGTTGCAAAATCAATGCTGATTTCCAAACTGCCCACTAAGGATTACTTATTCTATAAATGTGGGTTATTATTTAGCACATCAAATTTGGAATTTACAGGGCAGATAAGCACAGTATATTTTCCAAAGCCGGGTCCTTGTTATCATAGCCTGAAAAAACAGGTTAAGTGAAGCATATTTCCATTTCTCACCTGGTCACTGACTACAATACTTCAGGCTTCAATTTGTTGAACCTGGCAAAAATTCTTCTTAGTTCAAACTCTTGATCCTCGTAGCAGTTTTGAAGTACAACTCTTCCCAAGTATCTCTTTTTCCTCTCCTTTTTTTCCTAAATTAAAAAAAAGGGGGGGGGGGTAGCTGTGATGATTATGAAGATTAAGCAAGCAAAACAAAAACCAAAAGGTTTTGCCCCAGGAGTTTCTGAATACTAAGGCATCACTGAAGTTAATTCCTCAGGCATCCTTTTCTAACACTGTAGAATCATCTAACATGTTAGAATCATGATATTCCATCTAAATATTCCTTCCAGATGTTTTGCCACAATACAGAAGCTTTGTGAGTCTACAAAGCTAAATGCTTTTCATAGTAATAGGACAGAAGTCCCCAGCTAATGAATAATTTTTACTCCAAAGGTCAATTTTGTAATCTTCTTAGAATTAGGAAAGTACTTTTCTATAGAAACAAAATTATGTCACTGATTGCCAGACCAAGCTACAAAAATCTTTTTTTAAGACTATAGACTTACATTAGTCAGAGAAGACTGTGTGTATAAAATATATAGGTAGGTATAAAATGCGATGTTTTTTATTATCTTTAATGAATTTTAAGACAGAAGAGGGCAGAGTCAAACAAACAATATACACCAGTGTGTCAAACTCGAACAGAAATGAATCCCTGCAGGTGACATAATGACTTAGAAAACCACAAACTGATATTATCTATGGTGCACTGTATTTTTATTTATTTTGTTAAACATTTCCCAATTACATTTTAATCTGGTTCTGCCACACTTAGGGAGTTTGGCAGGCCAGTGAGTTTGATAACTGACATACACCACGACTACCAATAATGTAAACAAAGAAAACATTAAAGGCAACAAGAAAATTCAAGTCAAATACAATCGACAAGTTTGTTACCATACTTTCAAAGTCAAAACATACACTTTTTAATCTGTTAACAATCAAAAAACTAGGAAAGATAGAAAGTGACAAATATTATCCATTGCAGTCACTAAATGATTCTGATTAGATATTTACATGGAAATGTCCTGGGGGAAGGGAGTAGTTTGAGCATTGGCTCATGTTGAAACAAAAATGTCTCCCTTCCACCCCAAATCCTTTAAAGCATTAAAAAAAAAATTAATTCAGATTTACATCCTAGGATACATGAGAACGATCCCTTTTCTGTAGCCTTAGCAGCAGGAATGGAGATTTTTCTCAATTCCAAGTCAATAATAGTAGCTCTAATAGGAAAGAAGCTACAGCAGATTACAGGAGAAGAGATTGGGCGGTAAGGGAGGGAAGAAAGCGTGGTTGTTTTTAAAAAAATGTTTCTTGATATAATTATCTTTCTTAATCCTATACATTTTATCTTTTGGATTTAAAAACATTATTCTGAGAAACGATCCATATGTTTCACCAGAAAAAGGACAAGAAGCCCTCTAGACCAAGGGTGAGGAATCTGGGGCCTTGAGGCCTGCTCTAGAGATTACTCATCATTTGGGGAGAAGAACCTTCAAGATGCCTTCAAATACTTTTAATTTTAAATAGGTCAGGGCTAGTGAAGGAGGTCCTAGGAGGCTCATTTCTCCCTCCATCTCACCTAGGTATCATCAGTTAAATCACAGCAGACCTTTTTCTGGACTAGCATTGAATAGAGGACCCTAATGACCATCCTTTTTGAAGTCTCTATTTCAGGTGCCCCTTTTTATCACACTTTCCTCAAAACTTTTTCTTTGTGACTCTTCATTCTCACGGTTCTCACTCTTCTCTGACTAATCCTTTGTAAGTTTCTTCTGTTTTCTTTTCCTCCTTTTCCCATGTTCTTTATATACATTCTCTTGCTTGGTGACTTTATCTTGTGAACACTTCAGTTATCACCTCTGAGTTGGTTACTTTCAAACTTACTGTCTCATTCTGAACAGAAGCTATTCCAAACTTTCCATTCTCTCCTCAAGTCTCCTTTATCTTTCCCCAATCTCTCAACTGAAGAACCTGCCTCTTGCTTTACTGAAAAAACTGAGGATATTTGCCATGACCTCCCTTTTCTCCCTGCTCTTTCCAATGAGGTAGCCTTTCTCCTTGCCAGGCTAATACCTTTAGTAGGCCTTTGAGTCCATGTTCATCAGTCTTTCCCAGCACACTGCCTCTTCAGTTGTGCCCCCTTAACCTTTCCCTAACTAATAGTTCCTTCCCTACTGCCTTCAAACCTGTACAAATTTACTCCATACTTAAAAAATCTTAACTAGATTCTACCATCTACTCAAGTCATCATTCCACAGGTCTTCTCCCTTTCTCACTCAAACTCTTAGAGATGGATGGTAAGAGGGATAGAACTATTAAGTAAGGGTTTTTTTGAAGATGGGGAAGGTATGGGCTTATTTCTAGGCAGTAGAATCCAACAGACAGAGAGAGACTAAAACTAAGTGAGATAATTCCTCCTATCTATCCACCTCCTACCTATGACATCTTCCTCCACAAATCCATCAAAGAGATTGTGTTAAAGTGCAGGCCTGACATTTCCCTTCTCAATAAATTCTAGTAACTCCCTATTACTTATTATTAATTTATATTATTTATATGCTTATTATTTGATCTAGTATCAAATATAAAATCTTCTGTATGACATTTAAAGCCTAACAACCTGGCCTCACTACATCACCTTTGACACACTACAGATTAATCAAAATGGTATTCTTACTGCTCCTCACATACAGCTACCTATCTCCTGTTTCCATGCCTTTGTTTTTTTCTGTTCCTGGAATGAAATTCCCTCCTTCCTCACAGAATTCCTAGGCTCCTTCAAGGCTTTACTCAAGTAACAACTTCTACATGAAAACTTTCCTTGTTCATAGTTTCTGGTATCTTTCCATAAAAAATGATCTTTTATCCATTTTGTATATTAATACATGTGTTGTCTCCCCTGGACAGATGAAGCATCAATGGCATGTGTAACAAATCTACAGATGACACTAGGCTAAGAGGTATAGTTAATACACTAAAGACCAAATACTCAGATTTTAAGCAGTATGCCCAGATAAATGTATCTGGAAGAGTGAATTGTCCACTATATTAGGTCCCCTTCAGGGTAGTAAACATCAGAGGCAGGATTTGAATCCAGGTCTTCTGGCTCCTATACTTGCACCTTTTGCATTGCACCATTTGGATGTACCCATACTCCATCCTCCCAGAAGGGAATGGAACCAAGAAGCATGGGAATACTCTGTCTGTACATAAAGGCATTAACAGAATAGCATTTTAGAGTTGAAAGAACTTTGGAGAGTACCATATTTCATTCAATAAGTAGGTTGTATAATAGTAAAATGGATCTGTAAGTACAAAACAGCTACTGCCAAAGAGTATTGATTTTGTCAATCCAGATAGAAGTCTGATTATGTGCTACAGGGTTTTATCCTGGCTTGTTCTGTTCATTATTTTTAATCAGTGACTTGGATGAAAACATAGACTTATTTATCAAATCTGCAGATGACACAAGGTTAGTAAAGATAGTTAAGTCACTAGAGACTAAACATCCAGATAAATCTCTTCTGGAAAAGCAAGTCATTCACTTTGTCCAGGCCTGGCTCCAGCTATGTTTCATTTCCCTCCCAATTTCCCTCATCAACTACAACGCAGCTCTCTTCCCCCCTTTCCAGTTCTAGAATCATAATTAAATCAATTGTGCTATTACTCCTGGAAAGAGTATGTCAATTTGCCTCCCAAATGACTTAACTCATCATCCTCCTAACTTTCCAAACAAAAATCTTCTTCCCTGGATACCATTCCCTTAGATGTCCCCTGTTAGAATGTAAGCTCCTTGAGAGCAGGGACTGACTATACTTAGCACTTAGCACAGTGATAAAAATTTAGTAAATGTTTTATCATTTATTCAAAATGACACTGATAGGCAATAAGTCAAATATAACAAGATGAAATCTGATAAGGATAGATACAGAGTGTCCCAGTCTGAGTGCTGTTTTATGCTGTTAAAGCTTTTGGTATACCCTGTATAAAAGTTACAAAAATCAAGTGCACAAGGACATGATGGGAAGAACATAACAGAAGTTCAGAAGAAAAGCCAACATGGACTCATAAGTTATGGCCATTATCCTCTTAAGAGAGGGAGCAAGGTGGAGTGTAACACCTCAGATATCTTCATCTCCCACCAGGCTGCACTCACTTTGGACTTTTTTGACTTCCCCACAATGCTGCCCCTGCCAGGTACTTTCCCCTCTTTTCAGCTTTCTTTTGAGTCTAGTCTCCCTCAATTTGACTGAAAGCTCCTTGAGGGCAGTGACTATCTTTCTTATTCATATTTGTGTACCTGCCACGCTGTAAACACCTAATAAATGTTTACTGATTATTGATTCCACAAGGAATCAGGAAAAAGGCTCTGGTCCCAGTTCTGTCTCTAAGTTACTATGCACCTTTGGGCAAATGCCTTCTCTGAGAATCTTCAGTTTACCTCATCTATAAGACAAATATATTGTGTGAGAGCCAGATGACTCCCAGATCTATATATTCAATTCTGGTATTGCTCCTGATTACCAACTGCCAAGCAGACACTTCCATTTAGATGTTTCAAATGTCTCTCAAACTCAACGTATCAAAATAAAACTACATCCTTTCCCCAAACCTGTTCATCTTCCAAACTTTCCTATTTATGCAAAGGGCATCCTTTCTGTTTGCCCCGACTTGAAACTTTGAAAACTCCCTTAACGCCACTCTCCCTCACCTCTCATATCCAACCACTTGCCAAGTCTTATTTTTCTTTCACAACATCTCACGAATTCATTACCTCTCCATTTATACGACCACCACCATGACTAAAGCCCTTGTTACCTCCTTACTTTGTCTACTTCAGTGGTTTCCTAATTGGTTTCCCTGTCTCAAGTCTCTCCCTTCTCCAAACCATCTTCCATATCTGCCAAACTAACATTCAGAAAGCACAGGTATGAGCATGTCTTTCTCCTGCTCAATATGCTCTGATGGCTATTGTAAATATGGACAAATACAAACTTTTCTTTTTGTTAATTAAAGTCTTTCAAAATCTGGCTCCAACCAATCTTTCCAGGTTTACTGCATATTGTTTTCAATATAGTAGAAAAACTGCTAGTTTTGGAGTCAAATTTGATTTCAAATTCTGCCTCTGTCACTTACTGCCTCTGTCACTTACTGTATTGACTTTGAGACAAGCCATTGATGGCTCTGGCCTGAGTTTTCTCATCAGTAAAGTGAGACGGTTTAACTAAAAGGCTTCTAGGGTCCGTCTCTTCCAGCTCTGAATCTATGATCTTATGGGATCACGTCATGCTCAACTGCTCACAATAGACCTATTCTGATCCCTTCCTAATTGCTAATGTCTTCTCTGGGTGTGTGTTGTTCTGTTCTAAAAGAATGGAAGTTCACTGTGGGCAAGAACTGTTGTGTTTTAATCTTTACATCCCTAGCTCCTGGCACAGTGCTTGGCAGGCATTTAATTAATGCTTACTAAGTTAAGGAATATTCCAGCTAAGATCCCTTCCTCCTCTTAGGATTTCAAGGACCTGACAGTTTTTTCCAGGAATCCACATTAAGCTCACTGGTACATCTTTATGCTTCCTTTTACAGTTTTAAGTGATTTTCTTTTAATGATATATTTATCAAATCAATTCTAATATTACTAAGAAAATCACCTTCACTGCTTTTAAGAATCAAATTTCTCTCATGTTTAGGTAGGTCCCATTTGCCTACCCAGAGGTGGGCAAACCCACAAGAAGGCAGCTAGGTGGCTCAGTGGACTTCGGGCCTGTACTCAGGAAGAGCAGAGTTCAAATCTGGCCTCCGACTCACTAGTTATACAACCCTGGGCAAGTCACTTAACTTCTGTTTGCCTTAATCCACTGGAGAAGGAAATGGCAAACCACTCCAGTGTCTTCAACAAGAAAATTTCATGAACAGTATGGTCCACAAGGGTCAGAAAGAGTCAGAATTGACTGAACAACCACAAAAGACACTTAATAAATGCTTAACTGAAAACAATAGCAAAAAATAAGAGATTCTGCTCTCTTTACTAGTGGGAACACATCAGTGCCTATCAAAACACTTACTGATTTCTTTTTTCCCCTATTCACTTACTTCATAACTGCTTATAAGCACTATCTCTAAGATGTTAATAGTACTGGGCTATAGTTACAGTTACTTACAGCATCAAAGTAAAGTCTGGGCATTAATGAAAAAGAGTAAATAAAAATTTATGAGTGACTTTGGAGTGTACTTTTTATTCTGTTTTACATTCAAATACAGAAGAGGCTGATATTCTAGTACTTTACAAAACTTTATAAAGCCCTCACTCAGAAGAAAAAACTATCCAGTTTCTCCATCACATTCCTCTTCTTTTCTGCTTTTCACTTCATTATGGTAGAAAAACTTCAGTTATATTTAAAAATGCTAATTTTCTTACTTCTATAGTTTTACTGATGTGTGGGTAGTACTGATTTTTTTGGTTTGTTTGTTTTAAAGGCCTCCCTTCATGAAGGAAAACCAAAATGGAAATTAAAAGTGAATTTCAGTTAATGGCATAAGTAGGATTCTTAGAACCTACTAAAAATGTTTCTATCAATAGGAACTTAAAATAAAATTTTATTCAGATTACCATAGTCTAGATGATCATTATGGTGTCCGTTCAAAGTTATATTCAGTTTTCATTTTCAAATATTTATCAAATACTTATGTGCCACACAAGATACACACGGAATGCATTAAAAGCATTCTGGCTTTTAAAAAGTATAGAGTAGTTACAATGAACCTTACACACAGTAGTCAAAAAGTGCTTGCTGAACTGAATCTATATAAGAAGATTCCACAAAGTTAAAGTAATAATACAAACTCTTACACAAAGTAGTGCCTAGTTAAGTGCCAAATGAGTACTCCAGTCATTAAGTGTTCAGAATTCACTTGAGGGAGAGATCATTGTAGGTTGCAGTGGTAAGGCTAGGCTTCAGAGAAAGCAGGAATTGGGCTGGGACTCGGAGGACAGACAGTTTTGCAAAATGGGAGAAGTATTGAGTATGTTTTTCAGAAATAAAGTGCAAATTACAGTGATGGTATCATACTTAGATACAGCCTTTCAAAGTTACTTATATACTTAAATAAAATTTAGTTGTATCAAGCATGTAGACATTGTTACAAGAATTTTAAATAATAACTTTTAAAATAAAAATTAAATTTGTTTCTTTCTGTTGATTTGCAACCTTTAAGTACTAAACAGGCCCAAAGGCTGATTTCAAAAATATTTCAAGCCAAGATTGATGGGTCACTTAAACTGAGCTGACCTAACATTAATGTTATGATGCAGCATCTTGAAGAATAGTTTCCAAAACTTCACTTCATTGGAAGTTACCCATTCACTTAATGACACATCTATTTCAAGGCCAGAAGGTCTGTTCCACCAAGGGACAAGAACAGCTGGAAACGTCCAAACAGAAATTGAATTAGGGTTTAAAATTTAAATGGATGGCTACCTAATTTCTTAGCAGATGTTATACAGGACATTAATGCTTCAGGTAAGAAATTGGATAAGAACACCTCTAGGGTTTTTCTATCTCAGACACTCTTTTTTTTTTCCTTTTCACATTACCTTTTCCTGTACTTTGTGGTTTCTACTTCTATTTCAAATATATCATTGTGTTTTCTGTAAAGACAACAATTGTAAAATAAATTCCAGACTAAACCCAATCTTTATTTTTTTGTTCATTTTTGAGAATGCAGCTTGAAGCTAAAAACTTCTTCAACATTTGTCTATTCGCTATATTTGTAAAGAAGATCTCTCAAAGTGATTACTTTCTTTCCTTCCCTCAAAAGAAACACCAGAAAATTTCTTCATCAGCAAAGTTTGCCTAAAAGGCAAAAATACACCAGATTTCTTCTTGCCAGTGGGGGAAAAAGATGCAACCACTGAATTATCTAGTTTAATGCTTTAACTTTATTTGTTAAGTTATAAAGGACATTTGCAAGTTCCAAATCAGTGGATTCCAATGTTTTGGAGGTTCGTTTATAGGAAAAAAAAATAAATGGGGGGTGGCGGAGGGAAATCACTGTTAGAAACAAGAAGGAAAGAATAATTGGTGGTAGGGCTGAGTTTCTAGCAATACAAGTTACTGGCATTTAGTCACGATATTGACTTTATTACTTTTGCCTTTCCTCTTTTGTCCCTAAAAGGCAGATTCCATAAACTGGTGCTTTTTTGCAAATCGTAGCAAATAAAACGCCAAAAGAGTAGAAAAAAAAAAAACCCACAAGACCCGGAACCACCATTAAAAGCCCTCGAAGTAACCCGCTGGGCTGAGTAGGGTCTTAACAGCCCAGCCTCCTCTCTGGACCCTTCTAAGGGACGACTTACCGACTCTGCACCGCTGCCACCGGGCAACGTGACTAAGGAAAATCCGGGGCTGGGAGGGGCCTAGCCGAGTAGATTTCTCGGCCGGCTCCCAACGGAGCCTGTGCTCTCATGGTCCTTACCTGAAGAGGGGCAACCAAGCGACTTTTCCACGCGTGGCTGCTGAGGTGATAATGGCAGCAGGTACAATGGCTCCAACAAGCCCCCCAGCCCCGGCTCGGCGAACACACGATGAATCAGCCCGATTCCATTCAAAAGAGTCGCCCAGGCCTTGGCCGCGAAGCACTTCCGGGTTCACCCTCATCCTCTTCGGCTTCCGTTCTGTCAACAGCCAATGGGAGGTGGCTGTGGGGGCGAGGCTGCGCGCGCACCGCCCCCCCTCCCCCGCTCCGGGAGGAATAAACAGAACGCGAACTTGCCTGGATGGGCAGAGGGTTGGAAGCTTCCCAGCTTGTATCTTCGCGCTTTGTATTCCAGACGTTGGGAGCCCGGGCGCCCGCTCACCCGGCTCTGGGTCTCCTCGCTGGTGCCGCCCCGGGCTGGGGGAAGACAGAAGAAAGAAAGTGGCGGATTTCTAAACCCACTCCATCCTGGGTCACTGCGCCACATATTTTGGGTTAGTCACCCCAAGTGGCTGTGACCTGAACATTAACTCCTCCCCATCCCTTCTACAAAAGAGAAAGAAAAGTGGCCAAAAAAACCTCTTTATTGCCACTTTCTTTTTCCAGTGGATGCATCTTCACCTAAACTTTACAGCACTTCCCAATAGTTTATTCAAAGGAATAAGCTTGTTTTGTGCTCTCAGATTTTTAGATTCTTAGAGATCGTCTAGTCTGGGACCCCTCGTTTTACGGATGAGGCCCAAGGGGAAGTGACTTACTTAACACCATAAAGCTAGTAAGTGACCCGGTCTTTAGCCTTCCGACTCACAAGACCAGTTTAAAAAAAAAAAACCACCTTTTGTTTGTTTAATATTTCGTTAGGGTCCACGGACGGGTTTGGAAAAGTCATTTAATCAACTCGGTGGACAGCAGGGGCTCTTGACCTATTTGGTGTCATGGACTTCTTTGGCAGTCAGGTGAAGCCTTTGAATCCCTTCTCAGAATAAGGCAAGTTATGCCAAGTCAACAAGCGCCTACCATGGACCAGGCACTGTAATAAACACTAGGTATTCGCAGAAAAGCAAAAAACAATCCCTGCTTTTAAAGAGTTAACAGTGTAATGGGAGTGACTAATCACAATAATAATGATGATAAGTAGCTAGCAATTATGTGATACTTTAAGATTTGCAAAGCTCTTTACAAATACCTTATTTTATGAGATACGTACTATTACACCCTATTTTACAGATGAGGAAACTGAGACAAAGGTTAAAGGACTTGCTCTGGGTCGTACAGCTAGTGAGCTGCTGAAGCCAGCGGTGAACTGTTCTTCCTGACTCCAGGTCTGGTCCTCTACCTACTGCGCCAACAAGCGCATATAGAGATGGCATCCAAATAAAATAAATATAGGCTAAATTGGAAATAATTTTAGAGAGAGGGCACTAAGAATAATGTTTTAAATAGGATTACATAGGATTACAAAGGAAATCAATTATATTTAAATACAAATATCAGAAGTATTTTATCAAAAATATTTTTTTTAAATTCACAGACCTTATGTTAAGAATCTCTGTTCTATAACATCTTTCTCATTATTTATGGAATGTGTCCAGTATTAGTTATTTGGGTGTATGTAGAGCTCTTTTTGTTAATGACTGCTTTGGGCAGATGCTTAGCAGTGGAATCTCTGGATCAAAAGGTTACAGGCATTTCAGTTTATTTACATACTTTCAAATTGCTTTTCAGAATGGTTGTACTAATTCACAAGTCCACTAATGATGTATTACTAGGACAGTATTTTTGAAGAGTGATTTGAATCTGTCCAAAAGGGATAAGTTTAAGTATTTTGGGCAGAGTTTAGGTGCATATATTCATAGAAGTGGTTCTGCATACTTGTGTACAATTCACTTTGCATCCTTGGTAGCTAAAATAATCTGAGCATCATAAATCTAAATCTTCTTGATTTTTTTTGTCCTTTGATCACTTCAAAATCATATCTTAAGTATAGTCACATGAATAATGTAGATATGACCCAATGAGCCCTGCTACTAAAGAATAATCAGTTGATTAATATCAGTGTGATACCTAAGAACACTTTGTGGTACAGGGAACTTATGGAGTGTTTGACACTAAAAATCACTGTCAAAAGTTCACATAAATAGTTGAAAAATGTATTTCTGCCACTTGTAGAATACATGCTGTGCTGGAGAGCCCTAAAGGGATGAATTCTCAGAGTCTTATCAAAGAGAGGAGGAGGCCAAAGGTGTCAAAAAAAAAATCTCATACCTTTTTATTATTCCTCCCTCCCTGCAAGCAACAGAAAATGTCAATAAATACTGCCTTACAGAAGATTAGGAACTACTGACTCATTTATTGTTGTTCAGTTGTTTAAGTCATGTCTGACTCTTCATGATTCCATTTGGTATTTTCTTGGCAAAGATACTGAAATGGTTTGCCATGTCCTTCTCCAGCTAATTTTATATATGAAGAAACTGAGGCAAACAGGGTTAAGGGTCTTTCCCAGGGTCACACAGCTACTAAGTATCTGAGGCTGGATTTGAACTCAAATTCTACCTGACTCCAGGCCCAGTGCTATATCTGCTTTGCCTCCTCGCTGCCCCTGACTCATGTTCCTACTTTCCTATCGAGATAAGGTTTTTGCAAAAATAATCTAAACATGCATGGGAAATTATTTTTACTTCCTCCTAATTTCTATCAAAGGTACCAGTAATGTTTATACTATTTATTACTGTATTTTAACATTTTGGATAAAAGCCATCAGCTGTATGGAGATGATAAAACATTCACTATTCAGTATTACTGCTTTACTTTCAGAATGAAGCTTTCTGTCCTAATACTTAGCTTAAAAGCTGCAGTAACTATTTCATTGTCTTTTGTATATTATTAGAAATCAAAGGTAACAGTAAGCCTTTAATTGTCAAATCTAATGACCTCAGTTATCCTTCTTGATTTCTCTGCAATATTTTACATTTGACCACCTTCTCCTTAATATTCTTCTAGTTGTCCTGTCTGTCTGAGTGTTCTTTCCAGGTCTTCCTTTGCTTATTCATCAACCATGTCATGCCCACTAACTGTGGTAATACCCCAAGCCCCTGTTCTCTTTTTTCTCTGCTCTTGTATGGTGACATCATTGCCCATGCGTTCAATTATCACCTCTATGAAGATAAATCCTAGATCTATATATCCAGTCCTTGTTTCTCTCCTGAGCTCCAGATCTTCATCACAATTTTCTATTAGACATTTCAAATTGTATGTTCCATGAACATCTCAAACTCATTGTTTCCGAAACAGAGCTTATTTCTCACTCATATCCATCCTTTTTCCAAACTTTTCCCTTATCACAGTCAATGGAACCACCAACTTTCCCATCACACAGGTTTAAAACCTAATCCTTACCTCATTTATCAAATCACCTCATTTGTCAAATCCTCTTGTTTCTGTCGACACATCTTTCACATATATCCCTTTCTCACCAGTTGCAGTCACTATCCTACTTTACACCCTTATCACATCTCACTTGGGCTATTAAAATAGTTTTATTTAGTCTCCTTATCTCAAGTCTCTCTCTTTTCCATTCCATTATTCACAAAGCTATCAAAGCAATTTTCTTAAATCTCAAGTCTCACCTTGTCACCTTCTCTTGACCCAAAATGCTAGTGTCCACTTATTAACTTTAGGATCAAATATAAACTCTTCTGGCATTTAAATCTTTACAACTTGACCCCTTCTTGTCTTTTCTCTCTTCTTACACACTGCATCCCTCTGTTACTCTGTAATGGAGCCATTCTGCCCTGCACTATGCAATACACACACACACACACACACACACACACACACACAGTTGTTTGTCCTTAATTTTTGAAGAGGACCAGTAATATCACAGAGTGTGTCTTGACTCCTGAGTCAATTTGGTTTAAATGAAGCAGAGTTGCATAAAGTCTTCAGCCTTACTCCCTCTTCCAGAATCATCGAAGTCCAGTGGCAAGACAAAAGTCAGGATGACTGGCAGGCTGACCTTGGCATCTTTTATGTCAGACCAAGCTCTAAGCATCCCATAGCATCTACTTCTGCCACCTTCATGGCTATTGGAACAAATTGTTCTCACCTGCCTATTCCACCAGGGAAGTCTTCAAATGCTTGGGGTAGACATCACCCTAGTTCACGGATGGATTTGTGGCTCATTGATTAACCTGAACCTGGTTTAGACCATCTGCCAAGATGGTTTACCAGGGTGTGCCCACTTGGCATGCAAAAGCTTTTTGGAGTTATAGGTGAGATTTGGGTGAAGGTAGATGAGCATCCCTGGAAAAGGTTCAGCAAACCCTCACGCCAGAGGTGCTAGTCCTCCCTGAACATCCATATACCCCTATATACATATCTATGTCTGTGGGTATATATACATAGATGCACAAATATGTAATACACTTACGTTACATATACACATATATGTACATGTTGTCTTTCTTATTAGGATATAATCTCCTTGAATGCAGAAGCTGTTTTTATTTTTGTGTTTGTATCCCCAGCACAGAGCACAATGCCTGGCGTACAGCTCAATAAATGCTTGTGGATTGATTTTTATGAGGCATTAGATAGCAGTAGACATGCTTTCACAAGTGATATTCTATAGCAGATCACACCTTTATAAAAATAGAATTAATTGAAAGAATTCAAGATCCCATTGTGCTTAACTTTTGTTAACTTTTTTGTTGACTATTAAAAATGTTTGAGTTAGTAGAACAAAGCATAATACGTTAAAAGATTTCTTCCAACAAGATGTCTCCTATGAATATGTCAACATTACACAAAATACCTTGAAAAGTTAACAGCAGGAATAATTGTGTATGAGGACCTTCTGATTATTAATAGTAATCAGGCATAGAACAGGGATACATGCTTGACAAAGGTGTTCATCACTGTCATGAAGGCCCACCATGGAGTCCAAGTTGAAAAGAAATTTCCTTTAAATAAATCTATCAATCAAAAAGCATTTATTAAGTGCTTTCTGGCCCAGCCCTGAGCTAAATTGGGGATACAAGTACAAAGACCATAATAATCTCTGTTCTCAAGGAGCTTACCTTTTATCAGGATGGTGACTTATATAGATACAGATTTCTCCAGATATTCCTGTTTGTGGATGATGTCATGCTGACTGCATAAAGCCCCAAAACAATGTAAAGCC